GATTGGGGAGGATGGTGGTGGTCGTTGGGTCTGGATTGGGGAGGGTGGGGGTGGTCGTTGAGCCTGGATTGGGGAAGGGGAGGGTGAAGGGGGGAGAGGTGGAAGGTGTGTTGGGGTCAATGTCTGAAGCAATGTCCCTGGGGAGGGGAGGGTGGGGCGTGGGAGTCTGTCCGTCTCAAACCTGCAGTAGAAAGTGTTTAACTTGTTGGCCAGGTCTTTGTTTGCTTCAATAGTGGGTGGGGGGCGTCTGTAGCTGGTGATTTCCTGCAGGCCCCTCCACACTGACGCTGGGTCGTTGGCTGAGAGCCGTTCTTCCAGCTTCTGGGAGTAGATCCTTTTAGCTGATTTGATCTCCTTGGTCAGTGTGTTCCTAGCTTGCTTGTACATGGCCCTGTCACCCCTTCTGTAGGCGTCCTCCTTGGCCTTATGAAGATGTTGGAGTTTAGGAGTGAACCATGGTTTATTGTTGTTGTATGTGCAAAAGGTCTTTGTTGGCACACACACGTCTTCACAGAAACTGATGTATGATGTCACAGTGTCCGTGAGCTCATCCAGGTTCTCAGATGCAGCTTCAAAAACAGTCCAATCAGTGGAGTCAAAACAGTCCTGCAGTTCCTATGACCCTCTATGAGAAAGCACTTTGGCGACAGTGGGGAGGAAAAACTCCCTTTTAACAGAAAGAAACCTCTGACAGAACCAGGCTCAGGGAGGAGCCATCTGCTGTGATTGGTTGGGGTGAGAGAAGGAAGACAGGATAAAGACATGCTGTGGAAGAGAGACAGAGATTAATAACAAGTATGATTCAGTGCAGAGAGGTCTGTTAGCACATAGTGAGTGAAGAAGAAACACCCAGTGCATCATGGGAATCAGCAGCCTACACCTATTGCAGCATAAGGGAGGGTCCAGCCCTAACTATATGCTTTAGCAAAAAGGAAAGTTTGAAGCCTGATCTTAAAAGTAGAGATAGTGTCTGTCTCCCTTTCACTAAACTGGAGCTCAGCCTTCCTGGACAGTCTGCTCGTACAGTGACCTTCAGGTAAAGCTAGCAGTCAGCTAGCAGCTACATCCACCTGTGAGTCAAAGAGACCACTCTCCTATTAATGCAAACTGTAAGTCTTAATACTATTTAAACGGGTGAGTTATAAAACTGTAAAGCTGCTGTGAAAGTGAAACTTATCTACACAGACCAAACAGTTTGTGCATCAGGCTGTAAAAATGTTTAGTTCTCCTGTAAAATTTTAACATGGGAGTCTATGGGGACTGATTCACTGCTGCCTCTGGTGGACGTCAGAGGAACTGCAGTTGATGCTTTTTCCTGTGCAATAGACTACTTGCACAATCACTTCCATGTTCTACTGGTCCTGCACAACTGTTTCTGGTGTGGTTAAACAATGGTGACGTTGTCCACCTGCTGCCTACAAGAGTTCCCAAAATTGAACATCACTGATCTTCATTAGATTAACAGGGTGACGACAACCCCCACCAGCAAATTAGATAAAGCATTTAAATTATGTGCTGCATCACACTGTGTATACACAACTATGAAAGTAAGAAAATGGAAATTACCTGACAAAGTAACGTTATGTTACTCCTCTATGTACTTATATTACATATTTTCTTAAACAGTGTTTTATGTTGTCCTGAACTATAGCTGGACTTTTCTTAACTAATGTCACTCTTGTTGTTAGACACCTTTAAAGTAGCATTAGTTAGTTTTCTTTTGAGATCGGTTGACATGATAATACAATAATGTAATAATGCGGCTCACTGTGGACTGGTGTATGTTGAATCAATGTGTCAGATCCTGCTCCTTCAAACTAACTGACAGGAAAACCAGGAGAAGAAAGAACTTGGCTGTTGGCTGATTGGCTGTAGCAGCTGCCTCTGGAAGGTTAAAACAAAGGGAAAATGTTACTCTTAATCTAGGAACTAGTAACATTATGCTACTTTCCCTAAATGTTTTGTAATGGTTATGCATACCATACTGTACCATGGGCTAGACAATGAGCTGCTGTAGTACACAGGTGTATGTATGTAAATGATGATGAGTCCATTAGCATGTACGCCTACACAAATACAATAACATTGCACCTCGAGCTCTAACTACCAACAAACCTCATAGCCTACCGATGACGTGCGTGCAGGTGTAAACACTTCTTTATTCCTATTGGCAGCTGACTTGGTTCTTGAAATCTGGACCACTTTATAGATGCAAGGCTCAATCAAATGACCCCTCACCCCAACCGGTCGCAGCAGATGGCCCCGCTCCTCCCTGAGCCTGGTTCGGCCGGAGGTTTCTTCCTGTTAAAAGGGAGTTTTTCCTTCCCACTGTCGCCAAAGTGCTTGCTCATAGGGGGTCATATGATTGTTGGGTTTTTCTCTGTTTTCTTTGTATTTTTGTAGGGTTACAAGACCTTACAATGATTTGGTGCTATATAAGTAAAATTAAATTAAATTGAATCTTTTGAAGGCCTATGGTCCTTCAATCGTGCCTCTAAAAATATGAATAATAAAAAATACTAACTCTGAAAGTAATTTGAGCTAAACTGATGGTGAAAATTTTTAAACCAAAACTATGTTGAAATAAGGAATAAAACATTTTGGGAACTAAGCAAACTCAAAGTTGACCTAAATTTAACATTAAAATGTGAGAAATGCAAATGTGTCTGAAAAAGTTCAGATTTATTCTGTGGCTTCGTCAGCGTAAGGGAGCAGCTGGAGTCATCGTCAGCTCAGAACACTGAGCGCAAAACAAAGTCAACGAACATCTGCTGAACTTTATCAGTTTGAGTTTAAACTACAATAGACGGTGTGTGTGTGTGTGTGTGCGAGTGTGTGCGTGTGTGTTTTGGCTGCTGGTCAGTGTTTGTCACAGTTAATGAGGTCACCTGAGAGCACCTGGTTAATGGCCTCTCATTAGGAGCAGCAGCTCGTTAGTCCGTCTCTCAGGACAAACTGCAGCACAAACACTGTTACATCATCATCTGATGTTTATACCTCTTTGACCTCTGACCTTCCCTTTCCTGGACTCGCAGGTACACATGGCAAGTGGATCCATTCAATACAAAAACAAACAGCATTTTTTCATCTAATACTTTATTGTTTCGTGATCATGTTTGACAGTAATAAATGATAAAAATCGATTTTGTGTCTGATCTCTGTAGATACAGATCTCTAGCTGTCTTCATAGAGATGTCTGACATCTCCCCTGTCCCTCAGAGTCCTTTCTGCACTCGCCAGTCAGACAGACGTCAGACGTTTTCTGTTCTGTTATTATTAGAGAAGGAAAAGTGCAAGTATTTAAATAATTATTAAAACTCTTTGCTGATATCTGAAGTTTTGCACGAGATTTCAATTTGATAATCTTTGAAATGTTTCTTCACCTTAAGTGCAGCCCTAAAGACTCCCAGAAGCACTCTGAGCTCCATCAGACAGGACCATCGTGAGATGGTGGCACTTTATGGTCATTCTGGAAAGGGTGAAGCCT